AGGTCGCATGAGGTTGTTTTTACTAGGTTAGAATTTTGCTAGCAGTCTAAGTAGTGATGTATGGTTCTGTCTTCTTTTTTATGATATTATTAGTTATGTATGGTTCATTTCGGTATTTGGAAGGGTTCAAGTCTTTGAGGTGACCGTCTAGGGGGTTTTGGTTTTCATACGGTTTTCTGAACTGCGATCAGTGTGTCTACAACGTGTAACAACCAAAAAGAAGTACTCTCTTTCCCAAACCATCTGTAATTCCAATTGCTCCCCATGGTAGTCTAAAATGCAGTTAAAGAGAAAAAGAGAATGAGAGCATCAAGAGCCCACAAACATTGTTATAATTCCGAGTAAATGTTAGAGATATGCCTACACTATACTAGTCTCCAGCCGCTACTTCATGGCATAAGAAAAATACAAAAACATATTTGTCAGATGCACACGGGCATCGCTACAACAAGGAGTTTTCAAAAAACTCCTCGGCCACGCGTTCATGGTGACTATGATATGCATGAAATATCGTTCCTCAACTTCATCAAAAGTTGAATAGGAGCAGTAGACTACATTCGAGAACCCCAAAACTTGCTTGGAACATTCATGCCATGTCATATATAACTCAGGTCCATGGCCAACAAACACATCATATGCTCTTGGCATTGTCTGCAAAACACATGTCCAAAGTTTCCATCAAAAAGAAGTAGAGAGAGATAAAAGGGTCATAGGGATAAAAGGGACATCTGGTATCAGTTAATATCATCTAATCCACAACCATACTTATCGAATCCAGGTAGCCTTCTTCACATCATTCATCTTGAGGAAGATCTTGCTCATATTCACATCTGAGCCAATCACCATGCACGCTCGTGCAAAGTTTAAAGCAACACTCTCAATCCTGGAAATGGCCTAGCAAACCTCATCAATGTGAAAATTATTGACACGACTGAAGTTTTCAACTGCAGACCCTAGGTGTGCCACAACTTAAATCCAAGGTATTAGCCACTCCCCACTTTTTCCTCTTTGACTGCCGACTTGAATTTAAAAATGTTATTTTGCCCTTCTCACTAACCCTTGACTGTGTAGGGGTCCCAGGAATGTCCCCCTCTTCAAACTCAGTACCTCCATGATCACCATCCTAATTTCCAGCCATTGTTTGCTAGGCACCATTCTCAACAGGAAATCATCCACAAAATTGCCCTTCCATATAGATTGTCATGGCATGAACTTTGTCTGTCTATCCAATTTAGCCTAAGGTAGGTTGTACGGCTTCTAGGGAAAGTGATGGGTAGCAAAATCTCAGTCAATCAGTCAATCTCAACAGCGCGCTGTGACCTCGATCATTGAATTGCTTATGATTATTCTCAACTCCTCAAATGTACACATATCTCCAGCATTACTAATTGCCCACATTGTATAAGCACATTCCGGGGCCAAGCAGTTCAAGGGGAAACCATTTCCCCCTTATGAGGAGTTGAGCATCATCATAAGCAATTCAATGGCCAATGTTATTGATGCGAAGATACCAAAAATGGTCGAGCGGGATGTAATGCAAGAAGATAAAGAGATAGGTAAGCACAAGGGAAGATCAAGATGGTGATCATGAAGGTATGAAGGTTGAAGAGGTGGACAGTCCTGAGACCTCGACACAGTCAAGGATTAGTGAGAAGGAGAAATCGATATTTTCAACTGCAAGTAGGCAGTAAAAGAGGAAGAAGAGGGGAGTGGCTGATACCGTGGATTCGATTGCTAAAGTTGTGGTGCACATAGGGTCTGCAGTTAAAAACTTTAGTCGTTCCAATAATCCTCACATTGATCAGGTTTGCCAGGCCCTTTCTAGAATTGATGGTGTTGCAGATGTAGACTTTGCATGAGCATGCATGGGGAACTGCTCAGATGTGCATATGAGCAAGAACTTCCTTAAGATGAACAATGTAAAGAAGGTTGCCTGGATTCAGTTTAAGTATGGTGGTGGATCATATGATCTTGACTAATGTCACATGTTCCTTCTATCCCTATGATCCTCTCAGAGTCTCTACTTTTTTATGAAAACTTTGAACGTGTGTTTTTGCAGACAATTCCAAGGGTATATGGTATGTTTGTTGGCCGTAGACTTGAGTTATATATGACGTGGGTTGAATGCTTTGAGCAAGTTCCAGGGTTTTCGAATGTAGTCAATTGCTCCTATTCAACTCTTGATGAATATGATGGACGATTACATGCATATTAAAGTCACCAAGGACTTGGTCACCAAGAATCTGTGGCCATGCCGTTAAGTGCGAGTGTTTTGAAGACTCTCACTGTTGTAGCGATGCTCATGTGCATCTCAACAATATTATGTTGTATTTTTCTTATGCCATGAAGTAGTGGTTGGGAGTCACTAGTATAGTACAGGCATCTCTCTAACTTTTAATTTGAATTATAGGGATATTTGTGTGCTCCTAATGCTTACTCTCTTTTTCTCTCTAACTCCATTTTAGACTACAATGGAGGACCAATTGGAATTACAAATGGTCGGGGAAAGGGAGAATCTCTTTTTGGTTGTTAATGTGAATGTACTTTTGACATATTTTTTAGTAAATAGTAGAGGGAGGTTACTGCCTTGACTTTGGTGTTTCTTCTAAGAAAGGAAATTTGATTAATGCTTATGACATTTTGATCATAGTGTGCATTTTATTTCCAATATAGATTGGAGCCCCTTTTAGTTCATGGTCAACTAGGAAAGTGGATAAATGGTTTCAGCTTTGTGTTGGTGCACCTTGTAGACTCCGTAACTTGATCAAATATTATGTTCATTACTAAGGTGAATGTACAAGGTTAAAAACTTAAGACAAGCCAAGCATGCAACTATGTTCTTGTTTCTCATGATAGTTGTAAAACAACGAATAATGTTTGAAGGGGGCATGTTTCATAAAATTATGTAACAAATACTTCTTTTTGAGCAATTTGGGATTCACATGTTTCGTGAACTGTAATGTTCAAAGGAAATAATTTCACCTTTGCAAGTATGGATGTTATATTAGAAATTTTAAAAATAAACTCTTTCATTTTTGCGTCAAATTTTGGGTGTTGTTAGAAATGAGAAGGCAAGTTTGGCCATTTTTAAATGTCACCTCACTTGAACAAACACTAGAAAAATGATTTAATAATCACAACATTGTACATGGTTAATTTGTTTAAAAAATAATGATATTTCTAAATTTCCTGTAGAAACACCTTCCAATCAATCTGAATGGTTAATATGCACCTTTCTAGTCTCTACCAAATGCTATCCAAATAGCATACACCCCATCTTCCAAGAAATGCCAACTCCAGGAAATACCAATTCCAAGATACACATTTCCTAAGGAATCTCATTTCCAAGGAACCAAATGGGCCCTTATTTTCCACATGATTGTAAGCTATTTCTCTCTTTTCTCTCTGTTCTACATCATTATGCCCATTGCGTGAGGCAAAAATCAGCTAGGGCTTAGTCTCCAAATATAAAATAAATAAAAATCAAATCCCAAAGAGTAGCTACTGTACTACAAAAGAACAAGGTTCAATTCATTTTATTTTAAACAAAACGTGTCAAAGAACAAATAATAGGATTCTAATTAAAGGAATCAAACACAAGATGAAAACATCAATACATCCTTAATCCACAACAATGGAAAGATCCTAGCACCACCAACATCACCAGTGCCCATATATCGATCCTATATCCCAATAGCAGCCCATTTCAAAACATTCCATCCATTACTAATTATCACCACAAAACTAAAAGTATAACTTGTTTCAAAACATGTCTTCCAATTTCCCCATCAATGTCACAACATCTAAATTCAGATAACTAATCAGATAACCACCTAAATGATACCCCCAAGGACCCGAACTCTACATTTTTGCTTGTCTCAATCCAGACAAATAAAAACGATACATATGAAAGACCAAATGTCTACAAAAATCAAAATGAAAATTTAAAGTTGTATTTCCCTCTCAACCATGGATTCAAGAACATCAAGGAAATAGTACAACAATTAAAATAGTCATGCCCACGAATGGGCATTGTCTCAAATAGTGATCGAACTTGGACTCGCCCCATTGCCGGCTGAGCCAAGTACTCAGGTAAATCATGAAGCAATTAATAAAAACTAAAATATAAATTTTAACAATCTTGCATAAATGTTTCATATAATATAATTTTGATTTTTTGATGATGAATTGAGGGTTTTTCTTGACATATGTCCTGCTTTTAAATTTTCCTCTGTCTCTTCGGATTTTTTTGTAATGCCTTCAGTAATAAATCAATTTTTCTCCTAAATCCATATTTTATTTTATTTATTTTTCATCTTATTTGGTATTCTAATGTTGTTTTCAGTTTCATTTTCTTTTTACTATTTTATTTTATTTTTAACATATTTTCTGATTTATAACCCCCGATGGGGTCCATCACAATAAAACTTCTTTGACAATTCAGTCGTTCAGTTTTTTCACTTTCTACGTTTTTTTTTGTTTTTCTTGACGCTTCACCAATTTTGTGGGCTGCCATTTACCACATCTGTGGTTTTTGTATATTTTTACTACTATTGATACGAGTTAAAATTTTCTCAAAAAAACATATTTTCTTATTTATTTTTATTTTTTAGGACTTTTTCAGCACCGTGCACTACAGGATCTATTTCAAACCAAGACTAAACTTGCCTTCCTCCAAGAATCTAATGACTTCAAAATGCCAAAAAGAATAAAGAAATTTACTACAAAAAATAATAAATAGCAAATGCATGTAAAGAACTACACTTTCCAACAGAAAAATCACTCCCCAATTTTTTTTTAAAAAAAAAAAAATTTCCAGCAAAGTAAAAACAAACTAAATATCCATTTTCCTACATAAATCCAAATGAAACTACATCCTAAAACTAAGTTCCAACCAATCATTCACCCACCATCAACAATAGATCCAAAACCAAATCATCAATCATAACAAGGGGAAAATAAAATAACGAAACTGAAATCAAAGAGATCAAAAGACCAACCTAAGCAGTAAGAACAACCGCTCCACCAGCCTCTTTAATCTTCTTCTCAGCCCTCTTCGAAACAAGCTTCGCTTTAACAAGAAGCGGCTGGGGCGGAAGCTCCCCCTTTCCCAAAACCTTAAAATATCCATACTGAGTCACGTCTAGCAAAGGAGCTTCTCCACTCTTCTGAGTAGCAATAGCCTTAGGCTTCGCCTCCTCCGGCAAAAGAGACCAGAGCTTGTCTACATTGACAATGGGGCAATAAAACTTGTTTCTTAGCTTGTGAAAATACCTCATCCCCACCTTCCCGAAATACCCAGGGTGGTATTTGTCAAAGAGAATTCTATGGTGGTGCAGTCCACCAGCATTTCCTCGTCCGCCAGGGTGCTTCCTGTGCTTGCCTATGCGGCCATGGCCGGCGCTCACATGGCCTCTTTTCTTTCTATTCTTCTTGAACCTCGTAGTCATGGCTCAGAAACAGTGATTTAGGGTTTTACTCGTTTCAGGGGTCTAACTGTATGAACCTTGGGCATTGAAGAAGGGGGGAGAAATGGAATTTATAGGTGACCTAAGGACGATAAGGAGCGGCTCAGATGTTTCGGTGAGGAAGTAGGAGATCTATTTTGGGCCATTCATTCCAATATGTGATCGCCCCAACGGTTGGGCGAGTCTGGATGCCACCGCTGATACTATTATGATTTGGAGGCATCGTAATTAGGGATGGTTTATGAAGAGGCTTTTTTTTCTTTTTCTTTTTTTTTTTTTTTTCTTTTTCGTTTTTTCTTTTTTTTTTTTTTCTTTTACCTAGAGGTCACGAGTATTTTCACTTTGAATTTATCTTACCTATTTTTGGAATTTAAAAGACAGTGGCGATTGTGACTTTTTTTTTTTATTATTTATTTATTTACAAAAAATAAATAATTTCTTTCTATACTTTCACGAGTAATTATTGCAATTCTTTCTTTTTCATATTTTGTTGGGCTTCTTTTGGGTCAATTTATTATTGGTGCCTAAAATACCTCAATCAGGTACTTAAGCACTAGATAGCATCCGAACTTTTTTTTTTTGAAAAATCAATCCGACACTTGCATTGCTCAACCAAAAATCCTATTTGTGAGACCGCCATTTTTGTGGTCTAGCACTTGAAATACCACTCACGCTCAAAATACTAACAAAAAATAAAAGTTTTGTAAATACCCTATTTTATTTTTTATTTTGTATCTTGAATTGGTTTGGCACTTCAGCTCTGATAAGTTGCCAAATGTTCGTCCTATATTTGGAGTGCTGGATGTACATTATTATAGATAAGTTAATCTGGAGCTTAAACTTTCTTATCAAAATTTAAAAACGTAAGAAAAAAAAAAATTCAAAATGGAGTTTGGTACATGAAATACCAGATCTATAGGAGCAAGGGTATCTTGGAAATTGACAAATGAGACCCAGTGTGAATATAAAAAACGAAGAGATCATTTTTTAATTCCAATAAAACTAAAAAGATTTTTTACTTTGCCAAATAAATATTATACTTCTGCAGGAAGAATTTACTCCCTCAGGTAAATTCCAACTTAGCGTTACTTTTAAGATCCCAAAATTTAGGGATGTGACCTTTTTATCCTATAGGTTAGCCTCAGAAGATTTTCTATTTGTACCTTCTATGCACTTCAAAAAAAATAATGGCTTTGAGATAGAACAACTATTATCCAGTTTCAAATTTAGGTGTTAGAAAACTCAAATTTTAGGTTTCCTTATCATCTAGCAATTCTTGAGTGGTTCCTAAAATTTCATATTAAAAAATTAGGTGTTAGAAAACTCAAATTTTAGGTTTCCTTATCATCTAGCAATTCTTGAGTGGCTCCTAAAATTTCATATTAAAAAAACCTCCCAAGTGGGTATTTTGACCAAGGGAGTAAAAGTAAATTATGCTTTTTATTAAGCATAGTATATGTTATCTTTTGGGGAAAATATCTCTTTGGTTTTTATTTTTTAACTTTAATATCTCAAGAGACTAAAGAATTAAAAATATTACTTGTACAAAAAAGGTCTTCATCTTTTCTATATTACAACCTCCTGGATCCTTTTGATTATAAATTTTTGACGCAAACAAATATTAAAATGACACTCTATTCAAACTCCATTTATCTCTCTCTCTAAAACTTCATCTCTCTCTCTCTCTCTCTTTGTTTCTTGGTGAGTTTACCGGCCAAAGGGTTTATTAGCTCGAGCTCGAACATGAACACACCTTCTTATGTATGTGAGAGAGATGGAGTTTGGATTTTAGAGAGAAACGGAGTTTAGATTTTAGAGAGAGATAGAGTTTGAGTTTTAGGAAGAGAGATGGAGTTTTGAAAGAGACAATGATGTGAGAAAGAGAGATGGAGTTTTGAGAGAGAGAGACGAAGATGTGCGAAAGAGGTGGAGTTTTAGAAAGAGAGATAGAATCATTTCATAAGTTGTTGAGGTCAGTAATACATGGTAAAAAGGGTTTAGGGGGTTGAAAGATAGAAAAGATTGAATCTTTTTGTTTATAAGTAATATTTTCAATTTTTGAGTTTGATGAGACATAGAAGTTAAAAATAGAGGATAATATGATATTTTCCCTATCTTATATATTAAAACATGGTAATGTGTTTTACATTTGTTTCCCCATCCCAAACAAAACCATTCCCCAAAAAATGTATTTTTTCACAATTATTTCACTGAAAAAGTGTTTTATCTTTATAGCAGGTGTGGACTAAAAAGTTGTAAAGTCACAACGAAACTTTGTAAGAAGATGCCTTTTTCAACCCTCTCATTTCTCATGTTCGATTTTATCATGAAATGGAAAATATTTTCCCAAATATTATACCTGGTTGCCCCTTTTTATTTATCGTATTGCTCCACCTTTCCGGCATTGCAAACACCTAGCCCATTGCCACTTCTAGAGGAGACCTCTAAAACTAGCGAACCAGGATTATATAAGCAATTAAGCATTTGTTTTCCTTATGTAGGAATTAAGTCAGGATTGCAGTTGTCGACATCCAACAAGCTTATACTTGTCTTCAAGGATAGAGTGGAAATTTATCAAATTATACCTACAAGTTAAACTATCTAACAATTTACGTAATATGTATTTTGATAAATTTCAAAACCCATATTGATGCATCACTTATAAGGCTATTTGCAATTTTCAATTTACAATTAAACCAAAAAATATCGGTAATATGTTAAACAATTCAAACCTTTGTGCATTTTGATAGATTTTCCAAAATAAAATGTTGGCGTGAATTTTCAAAATTCAAAAGCAGTTGGAGGAGTGAACCACTAAGAAAATAAAATAAAAAGTAAACATAGAGAAAAAGAAAAAAGGGAGGACATTCAAAACAAAAAATGGATAAGTATACTATGATAAAAACAATACTACTCGCTTAACAATGCAACAAAAATATGCATCACACCAACCACAACGTAACATAATAACCGACCTTAAAAGTTTATTGCAAAATAATAAGCTTTTATTTATGTATGGATGAGGTTTGTATACAGTTGAGGCTCTAAATAATCAAAGTAAAGCGTACCTTCAAATAGTATTGAGAAATGTGGTTTCAATATTGGAAGTCTTTGTGATAGCCTTAAAATATATTTTCATCTTTAAATATAAAATTTAAAACTTAAAAAAATAATGTAAATCGAGCAAATCTATGAAAAACTTGAAAATTGACGGTCAAAAAATGCGTTACACGATGCACTATTTCCAAAACTTAAAATGCATTTTTTCTCATGTCCATGCATCCTGAGGTCGAGATGATCAATTTAAGGATATTTAAGCATCAAAACAACCTCTTTTAGTGAAATTTTTTAGACACACTCTAATTTTATTGTTTAGAGCCTCGCTCTATATAAACTTTTTCTTTTGTTTATTACCTCATGTTAAACATGCCGGTAGTTTAGGACAAATACAAGGGAGAAAGGGAAAAAGAGAGATGCAAAAGCTCACCAACCGTTCCATTTTAAACCATCAACTACCACTTTTTTGAAAAGCCACCAACTATTACTTCCTACTTCATTATGTATTGGGAAAACTATTAATCCTATTTTTAGGATTAAACTTGTCTACCAAGGAACTTCAATCCTAGAAATGAATTACTGTAACATTTTACTCTAAAGAAGTAAAAAATATTTATGCTCTATGAGGAGCATTTTCTCCCTTTACTCCCTCGGATAAAACTTAATTTATAATTTTTTTTTGTAGCCTTGAATTTTGGGGGTTTTGTAACATTTTCAACATATATCAACCTAATGAAAAGTAAAAAAACAAACGCGCTTTGTACATCTTATGATTAAACAATGACTGTCAAAATTTTGGATTGTTAGATTTAAGTGACAAAGAAATCAATATTTACAATTTATTATAGATGTTTTTAGTAAATGCTAAAAACCTCAGATAAAAAAAAATTCATTCTAAATAGCTATTTCTCCCTAGGAGCAAATGTATAGTATGCTCCTTCAAGAGCATATGCTATTAGACTAATTTGCATTTGCAGTTGTAGTGCCGCGAATCTAATCATTACGCGGGTACTCGCATACGAGCTGGGAAGAAACATACTGTAACATCTTGCAAATGGCGAAACATACTGTAACATCTTGGAAGTGGCAATGGAAATGCAATGTGAAAAACAAGGGTGTGGTTTTCATAAGGTTCCAACCATAAACAATCCAATTAAGGTACACCCTCAAATTTTATCATAATATATAGTTTTGATGTAAAATATTTTTAGGATTATCTCAATATTTAATTTTATATTTAATTATAAAATTTAAAATTTAAAAAATAGTTAAAATCAAATAGATCTATAAAACATATGAAAATCTTAAAAATGGATGGTGTAGATACTATGTTGTAAGATATACTATTTATAATACTTAAAATTATTTTATTTTTTATATTCATACATCTTGATGTCGAGATGTTCAATCATATGGATTTTCAACTTTAAAATACCTTTTTTCAATGGATTTTTGAGATGCATCCGTAGTTTAAATTTATGTAAACTTTTTTCAAAAAAACAATTCCAAATCTCTATTCTTAGAGAATGCGACCCATCTGACCCGTTCATTGTCTAGAATCTACAGTTGCTGTCCACATGCTGTACCAGTCACCACCTGAGCTTTTCCAATCATATGTATTTGACGTGGCTCTATACGACTTGACCATCTATATTTCGTACAAGAATCTTACGAGGGTGAGAGGTTTGTATATGGTTGCTTCCTTACACTGTAGAAGTAAGGCGCACCTTTAAATTTCGATTAGAAATATCATTGCAGTGTCAAAAAAACTTACGATAGCTTAAAAATCTATTTTTATCCCTATTCATAAAATTTAAAAAGCTAAAAATAGTATATAGATCTAATAAATTAATAAACACTTAAAAATATTGAAAATAAATGATCCAAATAAAATTTTAGAATATGCACTATATTTTAGACGTAGAATTCCTTTTTTCTTCATTCACATATTTTTCAAGTTATTGATGGTTAATTGGAGGGTACTTCAACACTCGAATACTCTGTTTAGTGGG